TATATATATAAAGGTCGTTTAACTAGCTTATTGGAGAGTTTCAACAAAGTTTTATGTACGATCCATAATTGACAACGAAAGTTGCGCGCGGTGATCAGCAGCAAGACGCAGCACTACATAGGTATCTGGGTACTACCAACAGAGGAGCCCTCTAAAGTCAACTTCGATGCCCCACCAATCTGTATGTACATACTAAAAATGTCCGACCCATATAGTTATCTATTACACCGGAGTGATCTATGTAAAGCAATGCGATACGTACGTAGCATGCTTCATGATTCGTAGCCAAGCGCAGCTTTCTTTTACTTGAGTCCTTTTAGGCTCAAAATCACTAGCTAGCAAGGTTTACGATAAACATCATAGCAAACTCAAGTAGTTGAATAGAGAGAACTTCTTTGCGGAAAGCATAGAATATTTTTTCTGAAATATAGTAAACTTTCCTAGCTATTTGATCTCAATAACGTATAGGCTACAGTGTTTCTGGATGGGGGACATAACCCATAAAGCTTGGGAGTATTGCTCAATCGACCGGTTCGACAAAAAAAAAACCGCATATAAACTGTAGTAGACATACATTGGCTTAAGTATCAATGTTAGCTGATGAAGCCGCCTATAAAATACTATACTATATAATGAAAACTTTGTCAAACTAATCAGTTGTGTACATCTGCTTGATGACACTCTACAACGACTATTCGTATTCAACAAGGTTAAGCTACAGGTTGCCTTTTTTCAAAATACCCTATTGCTAAAGTTACAACGTGTCCTTATATTAGAGAATTTATTACGGACACATTTCTTTCCATTCAAAGTAACTGTCAACGTAATAGGAAGACAGAGCGAGGCGTCAGTTTTTTATATTTCTATATGAGTGTACATCTATTTAGCCGTTCGATTGTGAGCGTAATACGGGAAATTGCTTCTTCATATTTTCTAGGTTAATGACAAAGGGAACCTAAAAAATAGGCAGGAAATTTCTAGAAATTGTATTAAATTGAACTACAAATCGAATAAACACTCGAGTTGGATTAGCTATATATTTCGACTTTATTCAGTAATGTCGCAATTTCAGGGTTGATTCTTTATCGAGCAATAAATAATCTCTGGTACACTGTAGTTAGCTTCACTGGTAGCCCTATACTTCGATTTGCCTTATAGATTAACTACTTTCAAACAGCTTTAAATACTGCTTTTGCACCACTCATCGAAAACAACTACCAAACACTTTTTGTTTCTTTTCGATATTCAAGACGTGTGCACCCGATATAATATGTATATATATATTATAAGCAAACCTGATAAATACTTCAGATACTAGTGGTTGTGTGTACTACAGGAGAAATGAGTTCAAAAGGAAAAACATTTTATAGTTTTGAAAATCAATGCCCAGTTATCGAGTTCTTGTTTTTCGCGCTGTGAAAATTCATCGAAAATTCGTGAAGACATTAAGCATGG